CCCGAGGGCATGAGAAGAGGAGTTGGTGCCAGGCCCAGTTCCTCCCGAAGGAGGTGGAACAGGCCGGCCTGATCCTGCCTGGGTGGTCGCGGCGATTGTCCTCTGCAGCCCCTCCCCCTCCCACAGCCCCCACCCCCCCTCGCTGGGTCTGGGCCTCAGGTGCGCCCTGAGCACACAGGGCCGCAGGCTGGGGGCTCCAGGGGTACAGCCGGGAGCCAGAAAGGGGCTCCTGAAGGAGAAGGAAGGAGGGGCGCCGGCTCCACTCCCGGGAGCAGCTTGGGCTGCTAGGGAGGCTGCGAACCAGCTCCTGCTCAGTGGGTGGGGGTGGGGCAGGTCTCGCCCTCTTCAGCCTCACCCAGGCCCCCCCACCCAGAGCCCTGACCTGTAGACAGTACCTGGGCCTGGATGGTGGTGGCGAGGAAGGCAGACGCCCAGGATGGCAGGAGGGTGCTGGCTCACACCCAGAGGCCGGGGGTCCTGCAGAAAGAGGCCTCATCCAGACCACGGCTTCCCACCCCAAGCCAGTGGCTCATCAGCAAACCACAGGTGAACCTGTTCCTGGAGGTGGAGGAGGGGCAGGTGCAGGGACCAGAGACCCCGCCGGTCCCGCTGCTCCTTGTCAGGTGGCACTCGGTCCTGAGGCCGGTCCAGGGCTGCGGCCATGCCACTCAGAGTGGAATCGCTGTCCCTCCCGCCACGGGGCCTGGAGAGTGCATCACCACAGAGGAGAGGAGGTCCGAGAGGAGCTGGGGGTGGCTACACAGCCCAGGGGCCCAGCAGCTTCTCCCTATGGGGAGTCCAGACCTGCCCCACCACAGAGGGTCCTGACACAGGTCACTTCCCTCCGCCCACAGGCTTGGCCATTTCGGGGCCAAGGACACAGGTGCTTAGAGACAATGCCTCACACCTGGCCACCACCCTGGCCACTGCCTCGCGCAGCCTGCTTGTGGGGGCAGCAGGTCTCTGGCTCCAGGAATCCAGAGCATGTCCCTGGGAAATGGGGCCCGACTCCCTGCCTCTGTGACCCAGTGCTGTCTACTCAGCACCCCAAAGCCTGGCTCTGAGGCCTCCCAGACCCTCCCTCTGCCTGCTTCATGCCCACTGCCCAGCCCCCAGCGCCCACTGTCCCCAAGCTCTCCCGGAAGCCTCTCTGCAGAGCCTGGGCCCGTCCAGCCACAGCTGCCCCTCCCAGGGGTGCCCAGGCCAGCTAGGTCCTCAGGGACACCTGCCCCGTCCACACGCCCGTCTTCCACCTGACACCGTGCACAGAGGGCTTCTGCAGGGTCTCGGGTCTCAGTGTAACTGCAAGTGAGAAAGGTCCACAGTAGAATGTGTGGTTAACCCCGAGGGTGAGCACGGGCTCCGAGCAGGGCAGGGCAGGGGGCCCCTGGGTGACCGGGTCGGGTAACGCCCGAAGGCCCACCATCCGTATCCATCACAGGGCGTGAAACAGTCACATTGAGGCCAGAAAAGTGCATGAAATATTTTCAGGGTGACGAAGCCCGTCATGAATAAGAAGATCTGGCAGTAAATGGGAAACTGGGGGGAAGGTTTCAGTGCCTGTGACAGAGAAAAGTGAGGGTTCCTATTACACAAAGAGCTAGAATTAATAGCAAACGGGGAAGAAATGGACAAATTGCAACTAAGAACCCCACAGGCAGGAGATGCAAGTGGCCACTGGGCTCATGACCAGACCCCAACTCTCAGCCCTCAGAAATGCCACCGGAATGGCACCCGCTTCATGGGGGCGTGGGGCTCAGCAGCCCCGCCTTTGGGGGGCAGTTCTGAGCCCAAGAGCTTCATCTCAAAGACGACGTTTCCTGGGGGGCGGGTTGTAGGACGGTCTGAGCACCCCCGTCCCCCGATGCCCCCAGAACAGAGCCTGGTGGCAAGAGGTGCCAGAAAAAGGGGGAGGTCATGGGGGGCACCCTGATCCCCAGGTACAGGGCGGGGGAGGGCCGCCTCCACCTCATTGTCTTAACACCCCCTCTCGCCTCTTGTCATAAAGAATTAAAATCTATAATAAGGAAATTTAAGAGTCCCCTGTAATTCAGCCCATCAGCGCCGTCCCGGCTGTCGGCCAACCGCACAGAGTATTAATCTAGCCATCTCCCTCTGCTCCCAAGGAGTTGTGATAAAAACGTCAAACAATTAGATTATGTGGCCGACAGCGATGGAGTGGCAGGGCAGGGGCGTCCCTGGAATCACCCTGACAGAGGCAGGGGGCCGCACGCCACGTGAAGTCCCCCTCCCTACCCCCCACCTTTACAGTCAGACCAGGTCTGGGGAGCAGCCCATGTCCCTGTGGGTCCAATGAGCAGGGCCAGCCTCAGGGACCCGCTGCGGGGGACTGAGGGGCTGAGTGATGCTGGGGAACCCCTGGGGAACTAGAGCCCAGAAGGTGCTGGCCCCTCCCTGCTCCGCCGCCAGCCCAGCCTGGGAGGCGTTTGCTGGCCGCTCCGCCCGGCCTGCCCTTCCCAGGGCCCAGGCTGCCGCCTTCTTCATCTTCTTTTTTTAAGCGTGAAGACGTGTCACAAATTGATTTCACCGTTGGAAATGGGATAATTAAACTGGTTGTTTCCATCTTCATCATCGCCATAATAAAATGAGAGGACAGCCGAGGCGCGGAGGGATGCTGCGTCTAACGCAGGAGCATTAATTGAATACAGATGGCCTTTCGTGAAGTCGCCGGGTTATATTTCAGGAATATGGGATAATGATGCCAGTTAATCATTTTTACAAGATATAAAATTACTGGCTCCTCTGGAAAGATCATTAAGAAAAACAATTGTTCACAGCAATTGACAATAGAGTTTTAATTATTTAATACAGAAATTAAACTATTAGAGACCAGTGTTGGATGCGGGAACTTAATAGAAATTTATATACAAGGGTCTGTGGGCCCTTTAGTTTATTAACCCACCTAACTTCTTAATCCAAATCAATCCGGAAGCCTGTTTTAGCTGTGCCTGTGAACTAAGACGGAAGAGGAAGGAGGCCCAGGTGCCCAGGCCCCAGGTGGACGGGGTGGGGCGGGGTGGCCTCCCAGGTGAGCGGGGACATTGCTGGGAGTCCCAGGCAGGGGCCAGGGGCTCGAGAGCCCGTACCAGGAAGTGAGGATGTGGTGCCAGGACGAGTGGAGGCTGCCAGGGGCTGGCAAAGGGCAGGGCGCTAGGTGGCCACCTCAGGAGCATGGGCCTTGGTCCGTGTCTGGGTGACACTATCCAGGGGATAAAGTGAGGGAGGAACGTGAGGTGTGGACACCGAGCCCACACCACCTGGGCCCAGTGACGGGACGCCTGGTGTGCCCGGGTCCTCAGCGCCCTCACCCCAGCCCCCACTTCCCCACAAGGAGCAGCCCCATTGGAACAGGCCCCCCTCCGGGCACAGGGGACCCTGGGGTGTGCAGGTGGCCTTCTGAGGGTAGAGATGTTTTAAACGAGGATTCTGATTTTTAAAAACCACCTTAGAATGGATAGTCCTTCAGCGAAACTGCAGGGGGCTGGTCCAGACCCCATGGGAGCTCGAGGGGCAGAAAGCGGGCAGAGAAAAGATATCCATCAAACGGTGACCTTTGCTGTCTGCTGAGAGGACTTTATTTTCCAAATTTCCTACAATAAAAACACTCCTTACCTTTAAAATATGGAAATCACTATTTTCAAGATAATTAAGAAAAAAAAGTAGAACTTTTAAAAAGGTGAATGGCGAGCAAGACACTCCCTGCCGGCCTGGGAGGGAGGGACCGGGACACAGAGGGGCTGGACCAATGGGGACCTGGGACTGTGGGTCTAGGAGCTGGGTGGGGTCAGGCCCCAGGGATGGGCAGTCCTGGCTCAGGGAGTCTGACGCTCCTGAGTAACCGGCTCAAGGTCACGGAGCCCGTCCAGAGCTCAGCCTGGACCAGAGCCGCCTGCCCTCGGCTCCCACCCCGACCCGCTGGCGGGGTCAGCTGGCTGGCAGTGTGGTCATCCTGCTGCCCAGTCCTATCACCCGCCCGTGTCCTTTGTGGGACTTGTCCAGAGCATGCAGACTGGTCACCCTGTCTCACAGGGCTGTCCACCATGCGAATTACCTCCAGTCCCCTATTATCACCAATAAATTCAAAGTGATCTTTCTTCTCCTTACAGTTTTTAGGGTTACATAAATTTCACCCACGTAATTTTTTCACGCTTGGATCTATTACAGAAAGCCACTTCTATTGTAGAAGTTAATTGATAATGTGATTTGTTATGTTGCTGGGACATAATTCAGAAAGTTATTTTAGCGCCTTTGATGCATGAAATCGCACTCACATGAGGAGACACAGGGGAGGTGAGCAGTGAGCGTGCAATGAAATATCTCCAGAAGCTTTTACTCCTGTTGTCTGGGCGCGTGCCAACACCTCGCCACAAGAAAGCTCATATTTCCAACGCTGCTCTGATCCAAATTTATTCCCTGGTCATTAGTTAGCTTTAAAAAAAAACCTGGAGCAACTATGTGTATATATTTGGAAAAAAATCAAACAAAAAAGGAGGAATCTCCACCTCTCAATATTATCAAAGATGAGCTTTCAAAACACTTTATATTGAATTAACTACAGATTCATGGAAAGCGGCATAAATAGTGCAGACGGTGGCGAATGGGAACCCAACCGCACACTGTGCTGTTTCCACAGGCTTGCGTGTGTGGGTGTGTGCACCTGTGTGCACGTGGATGCATGTGAGAGCCTGTACATGCACACGTGTATACATGCATATGTGTGTGAGCCCCCATTCTGCTTGCTGGCTCTCCCTGCCTTGTGCGCCGCCCACCCCCACTGCTCCCCCTGCATGGCTCCCTTCAGCCCCCAGGACCTGCCACGGGGCTGGGGCATAGGGCGTAGGGCTGGCAAGTCCAGTGCCGGCCAATCAGCCAAGAGGTTTGGAGGGAGTGGGCATCCCCATCCAATCTGCTGACCCAGCGTGGGGCACACACGTGCCAAGGTCAGAGGGCCAGCAAGGGGGCTGGCGGGGGGGCACCGACCTGGTCTTGCTTTATGCCATCGTTTCCCCATCGCCTCTCCCCTGGTGAGGAAACGCATGGACAGAGCAGAGCCACCGAGCCGGTCCCTGGCACCTGCTCATGCCACACCTGGTGGCTCTGCTCCACTTGGCTCCACCGTCCGGGTCCCGCTGAAGACACAGCCCACCTCGATCCGGTGGTGGCAGGTGACCTGGGCTGGGAGGTCCTGGCTGCGAGGACAGGGCCACGCAGCCCTCAGGGCCCAGTGCCACGTGAGGACCTGTCCCTCCCTCTGCCGGGGTGGGAGCCCACCCGAGTGGGGG